ATGAAATGACAGTTTCTGTCCCACAAGGTTCTTAAGGTCAAGGGTTTTGACCTTAGGCTTAGTTTTGACATCAGGTCAAGTTCACTACAAATGTAAACTGCAGAGTCCTGGCCTGATGATGTTGATCTTCTGTGCTGGGCCATCCTTTTGGCCAGTGGCTGTTTAGTTTCCCCGATGTAAGACTGATCACCCTCCTGACACTGAACAACATACACAATATTACTCTGTTTGTGCCGGGGGACTGGATCTTTGGGATGAACCAGTCTTTGCCGTAATGTATTTTGGGGTTTAAAAGCCACTGGGACGTTATGTTTAGAAAATAAACGTCTCAGTTTCTCTGATACTCCCTCAACATATGGAATGACCACTGGTCTGGGTTCCTCCTTTTCACCTGTTGGCTGACTGGAGTCCTGTTTGGGTTTCTTCTCTGCTTTCAAGAAGGCCCAGTTAGGATATCCACATTGCTCTAGAGCCTGTCTTGTGTGGGATTTCTCCTTCTGCCTGGCTCCTGAGCTAGTGGGGACGCTGTCTGCTCTGTGGTACAGAGTCCTGATGACTCCTAACGTGCTCCAAAGGGTTGTTAGATAATTTTATCTAGACTGGTCCTGGGGTTTTGATCTGCTCAGATGGGATTATAATGAAATTATGACTCGGTTCTCACTGAGGCAAACTGGGCCAGTAACTCTAAAAAGAGTCTCCCAGGGATTCAATATCCGTCGAGGAATAGAGTTTATTTCTGCTTGCTACATCACGTAGAAAGGCTTGAAGCACCGTCTCATATTTCCTTTCACGTCATAACCACATAAGATCCATTGAGATCACATTTAGTCACGCCCCCTCATACACTGACAAGTTGAGCTCCCCATAGATATCATTTATAAAAACAATGATTATATATCTATGAATGACACGGGACATCTGGGCTCTTCCGGGTTTGTGATCCCGTCACAAACCGGAGAGACCAGCACTGTAAACTGTAACATTTTCCTGCCTTGATTTAATATAATTGATAAAACTTAATTGACATTTCCTTGATTTATTGTTAGTATGAGTTGCCACTTCTGAGGGAGATTCGAGCCGGGGGGAGCGACATGGGCTGGAGGCGGGTTTTCGGGTCTGGTGACCCGCAGCCAGCTTCCATCTTAACAGGGTGATGTGAGTCAAACTGCAAATACTGGTCTGTGTGGGTGGGTTTGCGGTACACCTCAGTTTGCAAATGTCCTCTATCAGAGACTGAGACCTCACAGTCCAAGAAAGCCAACTTGCCATTTTTTACATCTTCTCGTGTGAACTTGATGTATTTATCCACAGAGTTGATGTGGTCAGTAAAATGTTGGACTTCCTGAGATTTGATTTTAACCCAGGTGTCATCAACATACCTGAACCAATGACTTGGTGGTGTCCCTGAAAAGGACGTCAAGGCTCTCTTTTCTACCTCCTCCATGTACAGGTTGGCAACAATAGGAGAAACTGGAGACCCCATAGCACACCCATGTTTCTGCCTATAATATTGCTCCCCATATGTGAAGTAGGTTGACTGCAGGCACAGTTTCAAGAGTTGACACAGTTGTTCTGTGGAAAGTGTGGTCCTGCTGCTCAGAGTGGTGTCTGATTTTAATTTTAAACTGACCACCTCTACTGCATCATCAACAGGAATGCACGTAAAGAGTGATGTGACATCAAAAGAGACCATTGTTTCATCAGTCTCCATGACGACATCCCTCACCTTATCCACAAAGTCCATGGTGTTCTGTATGTGGTGTTCTGAGCTGCCAACTAAAGGGATGAGTACAGACGCAAGTTATTTGGAAACATTGTGACAGAGTTAAATATGCTAACAATGGATAATAAAATGCAATTTGTTAAAATCCATTTGTTCTCATTTAACAACATTCTAAGAAAAATGACAAAAGGTTTCACCAAAGGAGAATCCATTCAAAGGACTTGACTTAACCTTGTTAGATTTATCTACCTGGATTATTGAGCATGCATCAGGACATTAAAGCATTACGTTTACATTTCATTAGAGGTATTCAAGAACAAGAAAAAAATAAATGTTCAGATATTCTGAACAAGAAATGAACAACTACTATAAAAAGGTATGTCGGTTTGCAGTTCTGTAAGATAAATGACTGATGGTAGTGTATCTTGTAACAAGAAGCCTTTTAAAAAAGTGTATAAAGATGTTAAAATGTCAGGTGCAGAATTTTCATATGAAATTTAGAATAGAAACAGCCTTTATTATCCCATGGATGGGAAGTTCAAGTGTAACAGCTGCAACAGATAAAAATTATTCTCACAAAAAGTTCCTAAAATATTAAAAACAATTTATAAAGAAATAAGATAAACAATAATAATATTAGCTATGTATTAGAACATTGAGAATAGCAGACTACTTACAGTACAGCAGTATAGGCAGAGTGTGTGTTTTAGCAGAGGTCAGCATGTATTTAATACTTATTGAGTCTGTTGGGAGCAGTGTTGGTTGTAGTTGGTTGATGGTTGTCCTTTTGCCTGGATTACTGCATCACTGCGTTGTGGCATGGAGTGGATCAGTCTGTGTCACTGCTCAGGTGTTATGAGAGCCCAGGTTGCTCTGATAGTGGCCTTCAGCTCTTCTGAATTGTTGGGTCTGGTGTATCACATCTTCCTCTTCACAATACTTGATAGATTTTCTATGGGGTTAAGGTCAGGCGAGTTTGCTGGCCAATTAAAAACAGGGATACCACGGTCCTTAAACCAGGTACTGGTAGCTTTGGCACTGTGTGCAGGTGCCAAGTCCTGTTGGAAAATGAAATCTGCATCTCCATAAAGTTGGTCAGCAGTAGGAAGCATGAAGTGCTCTAAAGCTTCCTGGTAGATGCTGCGTTGACCTTGGACCTCAGAAAACACAGTGGACCAACACCAGCAGATGACATGGCACCCCAGACCATCACTGACTGTGGAAACTTGACACTGGACCTCAAGCAACATGGATTCTGTGCCTCTCCTCTCTTCCTCCAGACTCTGGGACCTTGATTTCCAAAGAAAATGCAAATTTTACTTTCATCAGATAACATAACTTTGGACCACTCAGTAGCAGTCACAGGAGAGATGCTTCTGAAGCTGTCTCTTGTTCAAGAGGGGCTTGACACAAGGCATGTGACAGCTGAACCCTTTGTCTTGCATATGTCTGTGCGTAGTGGTTCTTGAAGCACTGACTCCAGCTGCAGTCCACTCTTTGTGAATCTCCCCCACATTTTGGAATGGGTTTGTTTCACAATCCTCTCCAGGGTGTGGTTATCCCTATTACTTGTAGACTTTTTTCTACCAAGTCTTTTCCTACCCTTCACGTCTTTATTAATGTGCTTGGACACAGAGCTCTGTGAACAGCCAGCCTCTTTAGCAATGACCTTTTGTGTCTTGCCCTCCTTGTACAAGGTGTCAATGGTCGTCTTGGACAACTGTCAAGCCATCAGTCTTCCCCATGATTGTGTAGCCTACAGAACTAGACTGAGAGACCATTTAAAGGCCTTTACAGGCGTTTTGAGTTAATTAGCTGATTAGTGTGACACCGGGTGTCTTCAATATTGAACCTTTTCACAATATTCTAATTTTATGAGATACAGAATTTGGGGTTTGCATTAGTTGTCGGTTATAATCAACATTAAAACAAACATTTGTAACATATCAGTCTGTGTGCAATGAATTAATATAATATATAAGTTTCACTTTTTTAATGGAATTACTGAAATAAATCAATTTTTTCATGATATTCTAATTGTATGACCAGCACCTGCATATACAATTGGGAAGATATCTTTCTTGAAAAATTCCACTTCATGTATCTATTGCTTTAATCTAAATGTAATCCCACTGCTAAATCTCCCTAAATACAAGACTAGTATTTTGTCTATCTTTAAGATAACCTAAATGTCAAAGAAAGCCATGCAAACAATAAAGGTTGCAACATTGAAATATTTATTAAAGCTCAGTTTTGCGTTGTACAAATGTCATCGTTAAAACTGCATGCTGTAGCTCGGTTTGAGGCACATTACTAAGGATAATGACCATGGCTAAGCAAAATTAAAGAAAAATAAGAGACAACCTTGCATAACTTAAATCTTATTAAGATTTCAAATAAGTGTTCACCGTTAGTTGTTCTACATAGAATAATGTAAGATAAAACAAAACTTAAAAAAAAAAACAAAGAGAACTCAACAAGCGATTAATTTAAGTAAAACTTTCTTTTACCGTGGGAGTATTTTTGCAGCAACAGAAGGAGGAGAAGAAAAAAAAACAAATGGAGGCATCCAAGCAAAAGGGTTCAATACAATTTTAAAAACTCAGTTAAACCTGAGCACTGAATTCACTGAGGTTTACATGTCAAGTGTGAAGATGAAAAAGAGATGATGGTGATGCGCTGAACGTTGTAAGAGGACACAACAGACGCATAAAAAGCAGCAATGCCTTTCGGAGACAGTGAGCGTATGGAGGTGGTGGCAAGAGTTCTTAACTGACCGATACTACAGAGCCATACAGTTCAGGTCAAATCTTCACTGGGCGTTTGTGTCGATGCAGCACCGAGGCTTAATGAGTGAAAGAATGTGCAAACAGATGTGCCCCTTTACAACATCAGGGCTGCCAAACTCATGAATGACAACAAGTGACACAACGTGATTAGAAACTCTAACTTTGATATTAGAACTTTTGCCTTTATTTTCTTCTTCATAAAAAAGCACACATATTGCAGCATGAGGAGAACAGTGTTTTAAGCTCCTCTGGACACGTTGGAGTCCAGGTCAGGTCACACCCAAAGAGAAAAGTAAAATAAAATAAAAATATGCAGGCACGTACACTGTCTGTACTGGCCCTCACGGCTGCACAGAAGTCAGGACTCTGAGGCGATCGAGAGATCGTCAGGAGCCCACAATGTTATAAATCACCACCGCATCTTCTACTTTTGGCAAAAAAAGGAAAATAAAAACTGATTGGTCACACAGGCTGTCGGTTCAGACAACCTCAGAGAGGCAGAGAGAAAAAGAACGGATAGAGAGGCTAGTCTCAGCTGAAACTGGAAACCAATAAACCTCTGATAAGAACAAATGCTAAAGGTTTTCAAACTTTCCCCTACGGACTACTGCATTTTTAATGACACTATTATTTGCTTGTCTTCTTTTTTTTTTCTCTCGTCCTATATTTCATCTCGAGGCACATCACTTAAATCTCACAGCTTCTCGCCGCTTGCCTTTTAATGGGTGAAACTCACAAAAAAGGAAGCAGCAATTTACAAGACAGCAAGAAAATACATTGTACATGAATCAAAAGTGACAATATATCAATGATCAACATGAATCCATCCCTATTGCCAGAAATATTAAGACCAGGTAGGAGTGGTGGGGGGGGAGAGCGGAGCAGCTTCTGCGAGCGCGCCCGTCACAGTACGGTCTGCCTTCCATGGGAATGTTGAAGATTAACAGGGAGGAACAGGAGGGAGATGGGACAGGGGGGAGTCAGGGAGGAAGGACAGAAAAGGAGAGCCCTCTCATAACTGCTGAGAGTGTTTGTGTTTGAGAGTGTGTCCAGTCATGTTTTATTCCCACTCTGTGGTGCCAGGTGGTTTGGAGGTCAGGTCATACATCACTCTGGAGATGCCAGGGATTTTCTTGATCTCATTTACCATCTTTAGCACCACCTAGTGAAACATATACAGAAAATATCACTTAGGACTGAAAAGAAACGAGTGATCATTTGCTACACCTGAAATACAGATATACTGGAATGGCCAACACTAACACGGTGAGCGTTTGTACGGCCATCTTGCTAAGTGTTGGCTGCGTCTTTAGATACTGCCAGAATGACAGCAGACCATAATAATCTGATAAAAAAGAAAACCTAAACTCATCCAAGGACTCCACTGTTTTGCCATCAGTTGCTGTAATGATCAGAACCTGTACTTCAAAAGTGTTACGTTTCATCTGTATTATCTTATATTAGTTCATAAATCATTTAAAAACACGACCTTCTGTTTCGTTCATTGTGTAAGTCTTAGCTGTCTAAAAATATGCCATAAATTAAAATAGTAGTTCTATGGTGATGGCAAAATTCAATATCTTGTTGTTCCATATTTTCTTAACAGAGCACTTCGCTCTCAGACTGCAGGTTTACTTGTGGTTCCTAGAGTTTTCAAAAGCAGGATGGGAGGAAGATCTTTCAGTTATCAGGCTCCTCTCTTGTGGAACCAACTTCCAGTTTCTGTCCATAAGACTGACACATTGTCCAGTTTGAAGACTGGGCTTAAGACTTTCCTTTTTGATAAATGTTATAGTTAGGGTTGGTTTGTTATGCTGCTATAGGCTTAGACTACTGGAGGACAAATTGACCTCATTTCTTATAATGAATTGTTACAATTGAATAGTTTTCATTTGATATTATTTCTATCTTAACATGTAATTCTTGACCTGCCATTGTGTATCTGTTCCTATCAAACCCAGCCGGTCGAAGCAGATGGCCGCTTGTCCTGAGCCTGATTCTGCTAAAGGTTTCTTCCTCGTGAGGGAGTTTTTCCCTTTCCACTGTCGCCTTCATGCTTCCTCAAGATGAGAGTCTGCGATGGAGTTAAACTTAAAGCAGTCTGCTCCTCACATAAATAATGTTATTAACTTACATTTTATGTATATGAATGTTTCTGCTCAGTGCCCTGAGATGACTTCTGTTGTGACTTGACGCTGTATAAACAAACTGAATTGAATTGATATTGAATTAAATTTATACCCTCAAGAAACAAGAAATTATATAGACCCGAGTTTGCCAAGTTTAGCACATTTTTAGTCAAGAACCACATCAGACAGATGTGTGGTGCACAACATGGAGACACATTTACATAAAACTAAAGTTACGTATGTAACTACGGTTCTATGAATCCCGGATGACCGCCAGAGGGTGGTGCTGAAAGCACTGAATGTTCCCTTCGCGCGTGCGCTGTTCGAGTAGTAATACCAATGGAGTCACAGGTGTGACACGGATGAACAATCAGAGGCTATATAGCCAGAAGTCATCCGCAGCTCTGCTCCTACAGAATCTTCTTGCGGAATGCAAGGATTATGAGTGACAGAGAAGCTCTGGCGGTCATCCGGGATTCACAGAACCGTAGTTACATACGTAACTTTCGTTCTATTTCATCCCTCCTGACCGCCAGAGGGCGGTGCTGAAAGCACTGAATGACTAATACCAATGATGTCACAAGGAATCCTGAGCACACACCTCACTGAGGAGGCCCAGAGGACCCTTGCAGAAGAACCTGGCCCAGGGGGGGAACGTGCTTGGGGAAGCCCATGATGCAGCAGCACATATTGCTTCCAGCAGAACCCCTCTCAGGGCAGCCCAGGAAGCAGAGTGTGGCTTCACGCCGACCGGCAGGGGGCCGTGCAGCATAGGCATGGCAGATGACCTCCACGATCCAGTGTGAGAGGCGCTGTTTGGAAAGAGGATAGCCTAAATTAGGGCCTCCGTAACACACAAACAGCCGGTCTAAACGTCGTATAATGGCAGTAGCTGCAACGTATGCCTCCAGTGCCCTCACTGGGCACAATAAGGGAGACCATTCGCCAGGTGTAATCTGAAAATGAGCCAGCCTCAACGGTTGGTTACAGTAAGAGTGAGATAACACCTTTGGTACAAATGCAGTTTGGCCACAAGGTAACACAAGAGCCCTCAGGACCCCACCTGAGATATGAGGGGCTGACTGAGAGCGCATGTAGCTCGCTGACCCTCTTTGCTGAGGAAATAGCCAACAAAAAAGCCATCTTACATGAAAGCCACTTGAGGTCTGTCTGTGTCAAAGGCTCGAACGGAGGGTGGCACAGAGTTTCAAGAACCAAGGGCAGATCCCAACCTGATGCTTGTGGAGCTGTTGGTGGGTGCAACCTACAGGCACCACGCAGAAGAAGGGAGACTAAATTATGGTTCCCCACCATACAGCCATCAATGCCTGTGTAATTAGATGATATTGCTGCTACATAAACTTTAAGCGTCGAAGGAGAGCGACCCTTACCAAGGAGAGACTGGAGAAACTCCAGAATGGTGGGTACTGTACAAGAAACTGGATCCTCAATGTGATCAGAACACCATTGGGAAAACAGACGCCACCTGTTTTCGTACTGCTGATGAGTAGAGGGTGCCCTGGCGCCAAGGATGGTGCGTCTGACGAGGCCCGAAACTCCAGTCAGCTGCTGTCCTAGCCTTACAGTAGCCACACCCACAACCGAAGACGTTGAGGATTGGGGTGCCATATCAGTCAGTAGCAAGTCCCTCCTGGTCGGAAGACATCATGGGACGCCCTGACATAGACTCCGTAGCAGTGGGAACCATGGTCATGCTGGCCAATATGGAGCCACCAGCAGCATCCTGTTGCTCTCCTTGAGGACTCTCTGAAGGGTTGGCCAAATTAGAGAAAGGGGTGGTAAGGCATATGAGGACCCTTGGCCAAGGATGAGCCAATGCGTCCTGGCCCAGCGCAACCAACGCCCCCGTAAGAGTATCATAGGGGACGCTGAGTCGACTCTTCTGTTGCAAACAGGTCTACCTCTGCCTGACCAAAACGGTCCCAGATCATCAGCACTATGTCGCTGTGGAGAGACCACTCTCTCGGAGCAGACCCCTGGAAGGAGAGAAAATTTGCGACCCGATTGTGTCGCCCTGGTAAGTATGCCGCCCGCAGGGTGGACAGGCGAGGAGAGGCCCATTCCAGGAGCTCTCTGGACACTCTCATAAGTTGTGCTGACCTGGTGCCTCTCTGGTGGTTGATGTGGTAGACAACAGAGGTGTTGTCTGACCAAACGAGAAAATACCCCACTTCCAGGTGGGGCAGGAAGTACCTGAGTGCCAAATGCACTGCACGCAGCTCCAGCACATTTATATGCATGGAGCGGTTCTTTTGACCCCAGCGGCCCTGAACTGCTCTGCGTTGCCACACAGCGCCCCATCCCATGGAGCTGGCATCTGTCGTGACCACTTCCCTGCGACACACTACCACTCCAATGGGGACACCCCTCGACAAATAATCTTCGTCCCTCCATGGAGTCAGGGCATGAAGACAGACCACATCACTGTGAGCTTGTGGTGCCTGTGCAGCCCGGCATCCAGGCGAAAGCTGTTGAGCCACCTCTGCAAGGGGCGAAGTGACAGCAGGTCTAAGGGCACCACCCGAGTGACTGACGTCAGTTTGCAGAGTAGCTGCAGGAAGGCAACGTAGGGGAGCTGCCTGCCCAGCCTGAACCGACTGACCAGCTGGAGTATGCCGCCCACCCTTTGAGCGGATGGGCGAGCTATCATGGAGGGTGAATCTAGAACCACCCCAAGAAAGGTGATCGTCTGGGAAGGGGTCAGGCATCTCTTCTCTAGGTTGACATTGAGGCCCAACTGGGACACATGAGCGAGCAGGCGGTTCGTGTCGCGAAAGGCACAGACCTGAGACGGGGCGCAGAGAAGCCAATCATCTAGGTATGGCAGAACCTTCACTCCGTAGGCCTGCAGAGGAGAGAAGGCTGCCTTCACGCACCAAGTGAACACCCTCGGGGAAAGAGAGAGCCCGAATGAGAGTACCCGGAGCTGCCAGTGATGACCCCGATAGGCAAACCTGAGAAAGCAGCGATGTTCTGCTGCAATAGGCACATGAGAATAAGCATCTTTCAGGTCTATAGACATGAACCATTCTCCCCTCATGACAGCTTGAAGGACCTCTGCTGTCATGAGCATGTGGGAGGGCAGCACCTTTAGGTACTGGTTGAGTCCCCTCAGAAGTAAAATGGGACAAAACCCGCCGTTCTCTTTGCACGAGGAAGTAAGTCGAGTAACAGCCTCTGGGTTGTTACAGAGGGTCCACTGCCTCGATTGCACCCTTGGCCAGAAGGGCGGAAAGCTCCTGGTCTAGTGCTTGAGCTTTCACCGGGTCTGCAATTACAGTCATCTTGACCCGGCGTGAGATGCGAGGCCGCCGTCGGAACTGTAGCCAGTAACCATGGGTCAGAGTGGCAACCACCCATTGGTCCACCGCGTGCGCAGCCCAGTAACAGCTGCTAGTGGGAGAAATATCCGACGGTCGGCCTGGTGGTATCACTGTCTCCCTCGGTGGGGGTGGCAGAGTCCCTGGTCCAAACATGCCCGCTGGTTTTTGGACCGATTCACGAAAGCTCCTGTTGGGTCTCTGCTGAACTGCACGAGGGTACAAACCACTCGGCCGATCGTGACCCCGAGGCGGCGGCCGAATGCTGGGATCAGCCAACGGGCACCTTGGATGCCGAGGGGGCATTGCCCTGCTAAGGCTCGAAAGCTGCTGCCTTGTCTGTCGTGCCTGGACGGTCCGTTCCTGCGCTTCCAAGGCAACCGAACCAAACAACTCCCCTGGCACCACCGGGACATTACTGAGGGTTCTACGACATGGCTTGTTTTTTCAATGTCCAGAGGACCAGATTTAACTTTTTTCGATTTTTCTACCTGGATTATTGAGCATGCATCAGGATAATTTCAGCGATCTGCGTCTAAATAATGTAGTGTATGCCTATTAAGAGAAAATTATTGCAGAATTATGACAAAAAGGACTACATTGCAACTACATTGCATAAGGTCAAGTTATTAGTTCAAGAACAATTAACTACAGACACTGGTAGCAGAGTTCAGGTTAGACTAAGTAGACTTGTAAATTACTTAAAACTTAAAGTAAATGTATGTACTAGTCTAGTTAGAATTATTACAGAACTTGGTAAAGTTATTATTATAGCATGCCAGGTTAGTGTTTTGCCACCTTTAACGTTGAGCTTGGTGGGGGTGCTTACGACAGAATACTCTTGTAGCCTTTTTGTACAATATCATGATAAAATTATTTAAGTAAAATAAAAGCAATTGCTATGACTTTTTTTTTTAGCAGATGACAGCATACAGCAGGTACAAGGCATGAACAATGTGTGGCTTAAAAAGGTGAACAAAAAACAGTGATAAGTGTAGCACCTAGCAAGATGGCAAACACAAGTCTTGCCTAGCACAGTTAGTTGCCATTCCAGTTTATTTCTATATCAGAGTTTGTAACTACTTAACCTGAAGTCAGAATCATTCCAGTGAATGTGATAAAATAAGAACAGTCAGACGTTTAGTTATAATATACCTCCTCTGGGATATGGTTGCCAGGCATGGCAGGGATGCCCGTCATGAAGTCGCTGGTGATGAACGTGCGGACCACAACAGAGCGCCGACAAGATGGCTGCTTTTGGAGAGGGTCGCGGTCAAAGTGAAGAGGGATGAGGATGACCGGCATTTGGCTGATCTTGCCTGAATAACCTGATGGCAAAAGAGAGTAATGAGCCTCACCCCATCATCAGATACATAATATTACTTATAAAAGAGAGTAATGAGCCTCACCCCTTCATCAGAACCTAACGCCTGCCTACCGAACCCACCTCCACCCTGGTCTACAACTGTCGGTATTGAAGTAGCACGTTGCACAAAACAAACACACCTGCAAAAACGCTACTGACATACTGCTCCACACACCCCACCCCCCCAATAAAAACCGGCAGCAATGTAACGTCTATACTTCTCCATTCTGCACGGAAATCAGCTGATCAGCTGCAGGAGGAAGTTTATCCTTCACTGTGGGCTGCACAGAAATACAGGAGGAAGCTTTTTCTGTTGCTCTGGGCTGCACACAGCTGCAACAAGTGCTAAATAATTTAAAATAATTTGTTTTAAATAAAACATTTCATGCCAATCATGCAGCTCATTCATCAATCAGCCAATTGTGTGTTATGTCCAATCTTATTTTGAAAAACCATGATAGAGCGAGTCCGCGATAAATGAACCATGAAGTAGCGAGGGACTACTGTATATATAAATACTAAAATAAACTGCTACTTACTACTTGTACTACTACAACAACTTTCAGTCAGGTCATCTGGACAGTTTATTTTTCTTTTGTGCTGAAATGTTTCACCTTCCATCCAGAAGGCTTCATCAGTCAAGGAAACACACAACACAAAACTGATTCTTTCCCCAACAGCTTACTCCAAAGTGAAACAAACCAGTTATGCTGGTGCTAAGATGGCCTCTTGTACTACTATTCCTACTTCACGGTTTTTCACTTATCACGGGGCTTCAGGGTACAGATCCCCCCCACAATAAACTGGATGGATGGATGGATGGATAGATGGATAGATGGATAGATAGACAGGTGTGTGTGTATGTGTGTATGTGTGTGTGTGTGTGTGTGTGTGTGTGTGTGTGTGTGTGTGTGTGT